GGTGTTAAGGGGAGCTCTGGGCCTCATAATACAAAACTCAATGTACTCAATCTAAGTGGAGAGTCATCTCTACAGGTTTCTTCAGATGGTTTTATGTCCCACTGAAGACCTGTGGCATCTAATCCAACACCAAGGGTAGCAGACCCCTTGAAAGAGGAACTGATCTCCCCTTCTCAGTCTCTTCAGCCTCATCTTACTGAAAACACTCTAGAAAAGAGCTGGGGTCCCTAAAAGCTACAATTTAAATTTGATGTCAATAGATTTTACTTGTATGATAATTATTTAATAAGTACGTAAGTATGAAAAGAAACGTCTTGCCCTAAACATGTAAACTAGCTGATTAAAGTAGACATTTTACAATTCTGACTTAAGTTATGTGACAAAGCTAAAGTAAGTTTTGCATTTGTATGGAAAATATATTATAACAACATAAATCAACTCTTCTGTTTGCCAAATCTTCTTATTGCCAATAATCACTGCAACCCAAATTGGGTAATTTGTTTCCTTAAATGTCATGGTCATACACATCTGTTTCCCAAATGATACCATGACTTACTCAAAGAGAACCAAGCTAGATCCTCTTTAACTTAGGCTCTTGTCTATCAATCAATGCATGTCAAAAAAAAGAATAAATGTAATATTTTCCATAATGTACTTTTTACCAAGAGGAAGTTTTCCCGGACAATGATGGTAAGGTTCTTACCAGATGGAAGGTTAATGCATTTGGGAAAAGCAAGTAAATGGAAGGGAATTTATTTATGAACAATGAAAAGTAAAGTTTCACTGGAACATGCTGTACATTTGGAGGATGTACTGCAAAATGAAATTAGAAAAAAGGCAAGTGTGATTTATATTACACAGTATAGCTGAAATAATGCTTGTTGAAATTTAATTATTTTTAAGTATCCATCTTGGACTCACTAAATAAACTAATAGTGAAGTATGACAGAGTTTGCTTTTGTGATATGAATAACAACTAGCAATCTGCTTAATTTTTAAGTTTGTATATTTGTACTTTTTTCATTTAAATCCTAGAATAACTATAACTAGGGATGTTTTCTTATAAATACAAGAGGCTTTGGAAGGATTTTTATACTCAGAAAGTACATACTGAGAGAATAAGCTTGCAGGGCTCAGCAATAAAGCAAGGTTTAATTTGAATATTCCCCTAAATTATTCAACATTATTCAATTAAATGGAAATATCTCATAAATCCTTGTTTAAAAAAAACACAGTAGCATAATGTAACATGTCTTTGTTTAAGATCTGATCAGAAGGCAGTGAAGGCTTTCCTGAATCAGTGTTAAATACATGAGATATATGCAAAATTGATTTTTAAAAAAAGTGGTATAAACTGTGATTACCATTTTGGTGAGGCCTGGGTTGGTAATGATATGGTATCAATACTTTAATTCATACTTGATTGGGGAGTTTGAAAACACAGAAGTAAATTTTATGGAAAAGTGCAGCCGGGGACTGTTATAAACACTATAATTTAGGTGGTATTTTAATATGATCTTGTTATTCTCGGATCTTATCGTCTAAAATGTCAGGAAAACGCAAGTGGTTTCCATTGCAGCCAGAGAAACTTAGGTAACAAAATAAAATATAAAGAATTTTAATCTGGTTAAGGAATTAATAGAGAAACGCCAAAAGGGTATGGGAAGTCAGCCCCGGAGATGCTGAAGAGCAAGATAAATGTCCCTCTGTCTGGCATGGTTTCTGTGTGGCTTGCTTGCAGGAAGAGGACTAAGATCCGCTAATCTGCAAAATTTCCACAGCATCAGTTTCATATTGTCAGGATGCTGCCTTGAGCATAGTTAGCCAATCCACCCGATTAAAGAAAGTCCTTCCAGTGAAAGTCTTTTAATAACTGGAATTTGCTCTGAGTAAGGCCTGACTGCGGTAAATCCAATAAGCCCAAAACGGTGCATCAGGTTGGCTTTTAGTGCTAAACAAAATACCACCTTGATGCCACCTAAGCACATATTCCTTCTGTCTAACCTTTGTTTTTGTTTTCTCTTTTACTCTCAATGACCAGGAATAGTAGCCATCCTGGCACCATACAGGATTGTCCAGATTGTAAATGCATATCCTGGAATGCAAATAGGTCTGTACCTCTCCTTCCCACACTGAATATTACTAATATTATTAATGCAAATATCTTTGGCCTTTATTGAGGCATTACTTGATAATGTATGGTCACCCCTTTAATAATATTATGAATTCAAGTTTA